TCATGCATCGAGCCTCCCTCCTCGGCGATGCATATCGCCGACAGCGCGGCGACAGGCACCCGATAGCGAAGCCCCACGCTCCTGGGCGGGCTGGTTGCCAGGCCCCCATCGGCCATGAGTGGGCGATCGGGGTTCGATGCGTCCCACCGCGTCCCCGTTCCCCCCCCCCCCGCTGACGCTGCACCAGATGGCCGCAGGGCCCTGCAGACTCCCTGCCCGCTGCCACCGAAACCTCGCCGCAGGCTCCGCCAGACCGAACCCCGACAGCAGGGCGAAGAGGCCGACGAGAGAGAGGGTGGGGCCGGAGGCGCCTGCTTCGTCAGGTACACCGCGTCCATCGAGCCCTGGCGGGGCGGAGTGCAGTCCGGAGCGAGGCGGAGGCTTCCGGAGATTTCTTGTGCTTCCCCTGCAGGCCTTCGAACGGGCACGCCCGCAGCAAAAGACGCAATCGTGCACGAAGACATGTTCGCCAGTGTGGGCCCCAATCGGTAAGTGATTGCACTGCGGATGAGTAAGCTGCGTGGTGCGAGCTACAAAGGTGCAAGCTGAGCATGGCAATAAAAATGGTGTAAGCGAGGCGGTGCCAGCTGTGCGGTGCAAGCAGCGTGCTGCAAGCTATGTGGTGCAGGCGGTGCGGCGCAAAATACGTGGTGCGAGCTGTGTGGCATAAGCTGTGCGGTGAACGCTGTGCTATGTGGTGCAAGCTACATGGTGTAAGATGCGTGGCCTAAGCTGTGTGCTGTAAGCTACCCGCGGTGCAAGCTATATGGTGTAGGCTGCGTGAGGCCATGTTGCAGCAACTGCGTGGGTGCAATATGAGCCGCCGCCCAGCGCAGCGCACGAGGCGCCCCAGAGGCCACCACGCAGCGGCCACGAGCAGGCGCCACACGCGCACCTCGGCAACCCACCCAACGCACGAGGCGTCCACGAGGCGGCCTCGAAGCGGGCACGGGCGGGCAGGCGAGGCCTCGGCGCACCACCCAGCACAAGAAGCGCCCACGAGCCCCCGGGCGCCCACCGGCACCGGGCACCAACCGGAACGCCGGCACACCCCACCGACGGCCTCACTCAAGCAACCCGAAGGAGAGCCCATAAGTGCAACCACTGCTTGGAGCAACGAATGCTTGGTACTCAACCGAAACGCCGGCACACCCAACCGACGGCCTCCATCAAGCAACCCGAACGAGAGCCCATAAGTGCAAGCACTGCTTGGAGCAACGAGTGCTTGGCACTGCGCCGCGGGGCCTCTCGCGGCCCCATCGCCACCCGCCCTGCGATCGGCGGCGAGCCATGGGGGGAAGTGAGAAAGAGAAGGCCTTCTCTAGGGGAAAACAAACCTACCTCGCTTTTGACCACCCTCGCTTCCAAGAGATACCACACGATGCCAAATTGCAGCCTGTACTGGTCAGGCCGCTTGACGAGGAGGCGCGTGGTATGGCTTGGTTTTGTCTGGAAGCGAAAGCGGGGCAGGTAATTCACGCTCTGATTCTCCGAAGGCTCTGAAGTCCCCTGGCCTCCTGACAAGTTGTCTGAGCCTTCCCCGAAGACCCAGAAAGCCTCGCAGAAGCCGCGAGGGCTCCTGAGACGCCCCGCCGCCATCTGAGGAGGCCTTCTGCTTCGCAACTGCCCCCCTCGCTCGGCGTCGAATCTGGCTTTTGGGTCATATCTCGGCTCTCCGGCGGCCGTTCGGGACGATCCGGGCACCCCGGGAACGCCCTCGGCGAGGCGCAGCCGCTGGAACGCACCCCGAAGGCGGAAGACCGCCAAGAAACTACGAATACACACCCCAAAACCTCGAACCTCGAAGTTCGAACCTCGAAGTTCCCCTCCTCGCTCGCCGCCGAGTTCGGAGAACAAAAAAATGTGGCACTGCGCCGCGGGGCCCCTCGGCCCCATCGCCGCCCCCCTGCCGGGCGATGCGGCCCGCGGGTGGCACGGCCGGGCGCCGCGCTGCCCCAAGGAAGCCGCACGCCTGCGCTGCCCCAGGGGGGAGGGGGCCCCAAAAACAAAGGCCGCAGGCCTGCCGACGTCGCCCCCGAGGCACGCCGTCGCGCACAGCCCCCACGGAACCACAGCGTCAAGCTCGCCTGCCACCGTCGGCGGCGAGCGAGGGGAGAAAGCGAGGAGGAGAAGGCCTAGGCGGCGGGGCTTCGCAGGAGCCCTCGCGCCTTCTGAGAGGTGTTCTGGGTCTTCGTGGAAGGCTGAGGAAACTTCTCAAAGGCCGGGGGACTTCCGAGCCTTCTGAGAAGGCCCGCCCTTTCGCATTTCCCCCCTCGCTCGCCGCTGACACCAGGAGAGCACACGTCACTGGAGAGGTCCTGGTCTTTGCCAGTTACTGGCGCAAATGCGAGGCACGACGGATATGCCGCTGAGGACCGGTGCAGGGGCACCGCTCCGTCGACCAGGCTGCTTGAGCCAGGATAGCTACAGATGGACAGTCTCCTCTTTGGGACAGTGCCCACCTTGGCCCACACGTGACGGGCAGGAGGAGCAGGAGGTAGACGAAGAGGAAGAGCGTAACGAAAAGAAGGATGGCCCAGACTTCTTCGGACCGCGAGGAGCTCAAGCAACCCTCCACACTCCAGAATCGCCAGCGTGTCTGGATGGCCAAGGCCTCGACGTCGGGCCACGTGCAATCGGGCCCCCAACGCGTGAAACGAACCCTGCGTCGTGCCCTGCGCGCCCCAGGCCAGCTGCCACAACCTCGCCGCCCAGTGCGGGCACTGCCCAGCGCCCGGCGGCCGGGGTCGGAACGGGCACGAGGCACCCGTATAACAGCCACAGGTCCCCGACCTCCGCAACTCCCCACGCGGTGCGGAGCGCGAGCCGCGACCTCTCACCTCCACGCCCTTTGGTACGGTAGAGGGCAACAGTTACAGGGCTGTTTTTAGTACATGGGAGTTGTTTTTAATCTATGATGCTTGATCTATGATTAATTTAGGAGCACATGTATGCATGAACTCCTCGTTGTTTTTAATGTTAATTTCCTGCATTTGTTTATAGATGATCCGCACGCGGAGCATGTATGAAACACGGCACTGCAATGAACACTCCCCCTCCCCAGCAAACTCCACGTTGGCACGCGCGGGGAGACTTTGGTCGAAGTGCATCTCATCAGACCCACCGCCAACTTTGAACATTGGGGGGAGGGCGGGAGGCGTTGACGGACGAATGTGGCATGAGGTGTTCGCAAATGTGTTCCGAAGCCTGTGGGTACGTTGCCCGGCACGTGGCTACCGTTGACAGATGAATGTGGCACGAGTGTTCGCCAATATTGTTCCGAGGCCTGTACCGCACCCCCCAAAAGAATATAAAAAAGAGGAGCCCTCCCCCCCCTCGGAGGAGAAGGACAACTCTCCTACAGTCATGGATGCAAGAGGAGCCCTGGAAAGCTGCTCATCCCTACTCTGCGCCTTGACTCTCTCATTGCCCCAGGCCTCGGGCACACAGCGCGGGCTGTCTTCGCGCCACCTGCGGGTGCACGTGCCCACCCGCGACGCGGAGGGCACTGGCACAGGCGCGGGAGATGCTAAGGGGATAAGGGGGGGGGCTGTTGGACTATCTGTGGATGCAGGATTTCCAGGTGGAGCGTATCTGGCCGAAACTGGCTCACACATGGGCTACGAATGCCCCTAAGTGGCTGCTTTGAGGGGTTGGATACCTCCGCCAAGTGGGCTCCGCCCACTCAGCCCGGAGCGTTAACCCCCCGAATGGCCTGGGGCATCTGTACCCACAAGTCCGCCACACTGCGTCGAGGCACGAAGAGGAGTGTTCCCAAGGCTTCTACTGAGCATTTGTTTAGGGTGGAGGGCTCAGGGTGAATCTATATGGGCTCTTGCACCTCGAAAGTCAATCCGCCTTGTGATTCACCGCTTGCAGACTCAAGCCTCGAAAATCCATCGAAACGGCATTTCAGATTTCACCCTGTGCCCTCCACCCAAAGAAAATGCTCCGTTCTAGAGTTCTCGGCGCACCGTATTTTAATATTGTAAGTTTTCTGAGTCTGTGCAAGGGGCCCGCCGTCTCAAATCGATCCCGCGCGCTCCCAGGCGCTCCCAGGCTTCCCCGCGTGACTTTTCCCGAGGCCCGAGGGCTCCAATCACGGGCAAAGAGGGCCCAAGAGGCCCCCACGAAGGCCCAAGATGACCCGGAGTCGCCCAAATATAGCTCCAAGGTGCCCAAGATGGTCCACAGACGACCCAAGAGGCCTCTAAGACGCCCCAAGAGGGCTCCAAGAGGCTTCCCAAGAGGGCCCCGAGATGTCAACATCATTAGTTTCCCAAGGCTTTGTGGATGAGCCTAGTGCTTTCGCCTTTTCGGACTGTCGACGCTGCAAGACGGCCGAAGAGGCCCCCAAGATCGCCCCGAAACGGCCCCATAAGGCCCCCAAGAGTGTCCCCAGACGGCACGGCCGAAGAGGCCCGCATCACGTCCCCAAGGGGGGTCCAAGGGAGGCCCCAGAGGGGGAACACGAACCTGCATTTCAAGCCCTTCGCCCCAAGATGGCCCCCACGGCCGCCAGCAGGCCCTCGAGAGGCCCCGCACAGTCTCCAGGAAGCCCCCAAGGGTCCCAAGTCAGGCCCCGAGATGCCCCCAAGATACCCCCGAGAGGCCTCGCCCCAAAACCGAATCCAAGAGGCTTCCGAGAGACCTCCCAAGAGATCCCGACAGGCATCCCAGAGGCCTCTGACCTACAACTCAGGCACGGTGGCGGGATGGGCCGAAGGCAACATGATCCGCCGCCCCCTGTCGACTTGTTACATGGGTTGCCTGGCGTGCCAGACTTCTGGGAGGTTGTTGGTTCGTTGAAGACTCCCCCAGGAGCTTCCGCGCAGCGCGCCGACCACCCGAAAGGCCGCGCAAGCCGCGGAACAATCTACAACTTCGTTGACTCAATCGCCTCCAAGACGACCGAGATGGCGGCCGCGATGCCTACAAAGTGCTTCCAAGACGGCCAAGATGGCCCCAAAAGAGCCCAAGATGGCCCCAAGAGGCACCCA